ACAGTGATACAGTAGAGGCTGAATGGCTTTGTTGATTTCAACCACACCTGGGATGGCTACAAACATGGCTTCGGTAATTTCCTCATTGCCAAATATTGGCTTAGATTGGAAAAGATCCGCCGCTTGACAGGAAATAAGTTAGAAAACAAACTTCGCGTAGATATGGGAGTAACTAATGACACAACTGTTAACGCTGAGTATGCGTGGATAAAAATTGGAAGAGTGAAATATAAGTACCAGCTGAACATTGAAAAACTTATAAGTAAGTTAGCAAATTATCCTTATCACTAGCCTCAGTACCATCACAATTATAGATAGCTAACGTTGTAAATCTTAGGCCACAAATTGACCCATTTTTTTCTCTACCAATCCTGTTATTTACTCATCACATTGGCCAAACGACTGAGTTTACTGCAAGTCTCTTCTGAATCACGTAAATGCCTCTCAAACTGAAGAGGAGTCACTGGTAGTTTGTCAATACCGCAGCGAGACTAATCTTTTTGTTTTGCTTTGTTTGTTTTTAACATTAATGTAGTTATTTGTTTTGAATGAAGTATGAATACATTTTATGACGACAGTGATAGGAAAGAGGCAAATAAGTTAATGCAGTCGCAATGTTCTTCATTTCCATTCAAGTTTTTGCCCTCTATGCAAATTTGTTGTAAATGTAAACATTTCTTTTGCACTATTTAAGAGGAGACTAAATTTCCGTGAGAGGTGGTAAATTATTTGCTGAATAACTAAATAAACAAAAAAAGCTGTTGCGATGCAATAAATTTAATTTTTTGCACGAAATGAAACAGCCATTCATAAATATTGGCAATGTGAAAAAATTACATTATCGTATCTTGCTGGAGTTGTCGATCTGTAAAAGAGTAAGTTGTTACACTGACATATCCACCAGCTTGGACGAAAGATCTTAGATGTGCATGATTGTGCCTGAAACGCGTATATAGTCGTTCGGCTGGCTGACCACAGTATTAGTGTGCAATATCGTCTTTTTAAATTATAAAAGGTCACCATGTGGGAAATTGAGAAACGTGCAGGATCGAGAGATTAATTGGTGTCCGAAGTTCATTGTTAGATTGGATAAGCTGTTGTTTTATTTCACTTCAATGAATTTCAAAGGTCAATAATTATTTAGACAAGAAACCATTTCTGAGATCACTTTGTCGTTAATTTATTCTCTATTCAGGACAACTCTTGATCACCTCACCTTGAAAATCAATGAACTTGTTTGCGTAATTGATCCAAATTAAAAAGAATCCATACAATGTTACAAAATCGACTAAAACTGTAGCGGCTAGTTCCAAGAACTACTTCTGATACATACAGAATATATCATTACTTTTATTTATCCTCGTTTCTCTAAACAGCGTTGATGGGCCCTACAAAACAATCATTTTAAGGATCGAAACAGTCGTTTTCGACGAGCTTCACTAACTGCTGCTTCTATTTTCACTTGAACCACACATTGAGCGAATCCGTCTATCCACATCCGGTTCGCGTTTGTTTTCTGCTTTTTGTAAAGCGAGCGGCTAATCAAAATGAATAACACTTAAACTGACTTAGACAATGGATGACTTTTTCCGTGTCTACATAGCCTCATCTAAACATCAGTGGGGCTGGCTGAATTCGTGAAAGTTGGCAAACCCATGAAACAGTCAGAGGGACTTAAGTGATCTTCTTAATTTTTATCAAACAAGAGGCTACACACGGAGTCTATATTCTTGTTGGACTTGCGGTTCAGAGGGAAGAGATTGAAGGCCTTGCGGTACGTGTTTAGCAAAATCGCTGTTGAATACTTTACCTTGTTTACTTAATATTGAGGGTTATGGAGATTAAGACTTTGGAACAAGTTGATGCCATAAAACTAAAACCGCTGGATGAAATGCGGGGCCTGACCTGAGTGCCACGGCAAAATCAACAGAAAAGGAATAGGTCAATTTGTGACTTACCTTGAGTCGTGGAGAAATCCAGAATGATGGTAACCACCCAAGTCCGCAGAATAATAAACGCATACCTCGGGCGTTCCTCAAAACCAGTATTAAATAGAATCCTGCGTTTATCAAATTTCCAGTTGCAAAATTCATCAAATTCTAACGCTGTAATTCAAATCTTTCTCTGCCTCCGCGATTTTCCATTTTTAAGTCAAGTATCGCCTCATAGTAGCTCAATAAATATTTGCATTTGCATTTATTTTGCATTTACAAGGTTTTCTCTGGCTAACATCTGATAACAAACATCTTGAGTTTTCTACCTCAGAACGATATACCACAGCAGGCATTTTATGGGCCGCAAGTTTTTAGACTGATTGTGGCTGTGACCTTCACAAGTTTTTTTTTTCTTTTTTTTTCAGAAAAGCATGGTTTTTCGTCCGCTAAAGAAATTATCGCCAATTTTTTGCATAAGATGATTGAATTAATCAATCGTTTATGCGCGGCCCAGTACTTCAAGCCAGGATACACTAGATGCCAAAACTCAACCTCGTTCCCGGGCTACGTCCACCACATTGCTTTACGCCAATTAAAAACTGCCAGTTAGCACCTATAGTGCATTTTCCTGCGGAGCAAAAACCAAACCGAATTTCTGATTCAGGCCTGTTTACGACCAGAATAAAAATCATCCATACAGATACAAAAAGCATCATTTATTTGCTACAAAACATTTATCTCAACGTTTTCTCAAAACGTTCACAATTGACCTTAAAATAAATCATTTAGAATAAAGACTCTTTAAATCAATCACGTTGCCTGATAAATAGTAGATAGCTTTTTCAAACCCCCTGAAAACATTACAGAGTCTTGTAAGAGGATCTGGTAAATTATTTCATACAAACAATTATTCAACAAAAAAATCCTCCCGAAGAAAAAATTACGGGACCCTCAGGGAGAATAGGAAAAGTCCGCTGGTCTGATTTTCATTTCAAATGTTTTGGGATCGTTCTTATCAGCTTCAGGGGTTAATTTTGCCCACTGAATTGTGCAATTGCTTCCAGAATGAGGACAGATGCTGTTAAGATTTCAATTAGCAGTACAAACTTCATTAATGTAGTGGTACCACCAGCCTCCCCCATATTTCCGTGCACAATCACGATTAGCTGGAAATCCGTTTCACGCACTAAATAACTTGCCATTATGATCGGAGAGAGAATCTTCAACAGTTGCAGTTGCATAAAAAAAGGGAGAAATAAGAAGTAAACATAAGGAGGCTCCATACTAGGGTTTTTTCTCAATGTTGGCGCCCGCCAGCGCATCGTTTTTCTAGGAAATTATGATGTTTTCGCTTTTTTAGGTCACTGAAAGCCATCAGAAGCACAGGACGAATGCTCTTATTTCAGTGCCTTTAGGCAAAACCGAAAGCATCCCTAAAGGTTGACTTAAGCTTTAGGCGTCTTTAATTGTAAACCGAAATATCCAAAAGCTAACAGTTACCTTTCATGAATCTTTAATTGAACATAAGGTGAACTTTAATAACGTAAATCTTTTAGCATCCTTTAAGTGGTCTCTTTTTTGGCACAAAAGAAAATTTTTAATTAATATACATTTAGTTAACCTTTGAGGTGAGAATTAAACGAGTCTCGCTGTTTTGACATCTTTAATTGACGCATTAAAGATAGTCTAATTGTAATCTGAACTGTCAATAGGAAATGCATCACAAATTAGCCAGTACTTGCGTCGGACAGGAACAGCAAATTTTGTTCCATGTGCAGCGGCAAATTTTGTCAAAATATCTGAATTGAAAGCAACGGGTTTTCATTTTCGCATCTCCTTTATAGAACGCATGGAGTGCGATGACAAGAAAGGATATATTTACTGCGCTCATTGTAATGACTTCGTGTCACGTTCAACTTTCGAAAGGCATGAGCGAAAACGTAACAAGTCGAACTTGACAGATACTTTCGGGTCGACTTCAAATTCCCGTGATTTGTTTCAAGAAATTTCAAGTAAAGGGAGCATCGTATTAGAAATAGTAAGTATCTTTACACAGAGGAAAGTCCTAATTGCTTTTAAAAGTTTGTGGTAATAAGAATATTCGACTGTATTTCTAAACTTCAGCTGGTTACTAAGTAAATATCCAATAATTTCATACAGTTAAGATTGCTTTTAGATTAACTGTGATCTCTTTCCTCAAAAGATTCCACTTAAGGTTCCAGCTTCCATCTTTTATGAACAAGTAGATTCTGTAGTATGCTTTCCAGTACAAGTAAGTAGTATGCTTTCCAGTACAAAATTGAACAAAATGTGACCTTGGCAAGGTATAGTCAGTTTATAATTACATTCTATTACAATAAAGTGAAATGAGGCCTTTGTTTCAGTTGGAAACCCAACACGTGGAGTTCCTAACCCTTTTACTTCATGGACTGGTCAATAAGCAACTCTCCCTAACACACTAGCAATACATCAATATTCTCACAAATATATCAAAAAAACTGTATGAAAGGCATTTAGAAAAATAATATTGAGATCTTAGGGGGTGAAATGAGTAAATAGGGGCACATAGTATACAAGTTAAAATATTGTTTTCTGAAATTCATCTGTGAACAGGTAGATTCATAATAACAAATGAAATATTCTTCAGATTAAAAGACTGCGACTCCAGAGAGTCTGTGTATGCATGCATTAACCTAAATATTACACAGCATCATTCAACGTTCCAAATTTCAGATTCTGTTACATGTACTTCAAAGCCTTGAAAAATAAAATGAATGAGCATTGCGACAAAGAGCCTTTAACAAAAGACTTCATACATACAGTGTATTAAAAGAACAATTATAGGAAAGAACCTAAATTGACCAGAGATTAAGACTGTCTCAAAAAAATTACTCAGAAAGTTGTCAATTGCAGTCTGTACCAAACTCCAAAAACAATACTAAACAAAATAAATTGGAACAAAATATCTAGGTTTAGAGAAATGAATGTGGTCATAACCTATCCACATCTTCCTGAGTAGTAGAGAGTAGGCCTCCATCGGTCAGGGTCGACCATGGGTATAGCATCCTAATTGTGTGTTTGGCTGGAGCATCTGCGGCTATGACTGTGAAGGCCAATGCGTGAATGGCAGTCCCTGCCGCAAGTGCTGCACGTGTATGCTGTTTGTTGGACGTTGCTGATACGAAGTTTTCTGCGGGTCCGCCTCCTTGTGGCAGCTTGTGTCAGCTTCTCTTCTCCTGTTTTGAGGTGCCTTGTAACGGCTCCTCTCCATTGTGACCGATCAGCTGCGAGATTTTCCCAGGTCTCTGTGTCAATTCCTACAGCCTTCATGTCACGCTTCAAAGCATCTCGGTATCGCAGCTGTGGGCGTCCTCTGCGTCTACTTCCAGTGGCTAGCTCACCATACAGTAAGTCTTTGGGGATGCGGCCGTCTGGCATGCGATGAACGTGGCCCAGCCAGCGGAGTCTACGTTGCCTGAGTAAGGTTGACATGCTTGGCAGGCCCGCACGAGACAAGACCTCTGTGTTTGGGACTTTGTCTTGCCACGAAATTCCCAGGATGCGGCGGAGGCTTCTCATGTGGAAGGTGTTCAGGCGTTTTTCTTGTCTGGCGTACATCGTCCATGTCTCGCTGCCGTATAGCAGTGTACTGATGACACAAGCGCTGTATACTGCCATCTTGGTCTTCTCTGTGAGCATGGGGTTGGACCACACACGTGTAGTGAGGCGTGCAAGTGTGGCAGCCGCCTTTCCAATTCTCTGGTCGAGCTCGAAGTCTAAGGAGAGATTGTCAGTGATAGTGGAGCCTAGATACGTAAAATGATGGACCACTTCGAGCTCGTAATCGTCGATGGTAACGGATGGTGGTGTTTCTGATCCTTGTTCCAGGACTTTAGTCTTTTTCAGGCTGATGGTAAGCCCAAAGTCTTTGCAGGCCTGAGAGAAATGGTCCATGAGTGACTGAAGTGCTTGCTGAGTATGGCAGGCTACTGCTGCATCGTCAGCAAATAGCATGTCTCTTATCAGGGCTTCACGCACTTTGGTCTTTGCTCGGAGACGGGCAAGATTGAAAAGCCTGCCATCTGATCTTGTATGCAGGTAGATCCCTTCTTTCGATGCGCCAAATGCATGTTTCAGAAGGAAGGCAAAGAAGATTCCGAAAAGGGTTGGGGCAAGTACGCAGCCCTGTTTGACACCGCTGTTGATGTTGAATGACTCAGAGGTTCTGCCGTTGAACTGCACAGTCCCCTGCATGTTGGCATGGAAGGACTCAATCAGGCTGTGTAGTTTAGGGGGGCAGCCAATTTTAGATAGAATTCTGAAGAGACCCTCTCTGCTTACAAGATCAAACGCCTTGGTCAGATCGATGAAGGCAATGTACAAAGGCATCTGCTGCTCTCTGCATTTCTCCTGAAGCTGGCGGAGGGAGAATACCATGTCTATCGTTGATCTTTCTGCTCGAAAGCCGCACTGTGACTCTGGATAGATACGTTCAGCCAGTTTCTGAAGTCTTACCAAAATAACCCGAGCAAAGACTTTGCCCACAACGCTGAGTAAGGAGATGCCCCTGTAGTTGTTGCAGTCACTGCGATCTCCCTTGTTTTTGTAGAGGGTAACGATCTTAGCATCCCTCATGTCTTGTGGTACGGCCCCTTCTTTCCAGCACGCACATAGGACATTATGTAAAGGCTGTAATAGTGTAGTCTTGCAGTGTTTGATCAGGTCAGGGGGGATCCCGTCACTGCCTGGAGCTTTCCTTGAGGCCAAGCTGTTGATAGCCTTGCTGAGTTCTTCATTAGTGGGTTCGTTGTCAAGCTCTTCCATTACAGGTAAGCATTTTATGGCATCAAGTGCTGATGATGTTACTACATTCTGTCTTGAATAGAGATCAGAGTAGTGTTCCACCCATCTCTCCATCTGTTGTCCCTTGTCTGTGATGGCTTCCCCTGAGGTGGATTTAAGGGGAGCTGTCTTGTTCTGGATTGGACCTATTGATGTTTTGATGCCTTCATACATCCCTCTTATGTTCCCAGTAATTGCTGCAGTCTGGATGGCTTCGCTGAGTTCGGTCCAGTAGTCGTTGGCACAGCGTCTTGCAGTGTGTTTGACTTTGTTCCTTATAGCTCGGAGAATCTGAAGATTTTTCTCGCTGGGTAATCGCTTGTATTCCGTTAGAGCGGCACGCTTTGCTTCTATGATGGGGGTCATCACAGCGGATTCAGGTGTAGCAGAGAGTGTTGGAGCATACACGCTGACGAGAGTTACAGGGCCTGCCGTGGTGTTCAGGCAGAGAGTGAGGAGTCGCTCTGAGCCGCTGTTGCCTGGCTTTACCATGTTCAGCAGGTTGTTCTTCACTGCAAAGCCCACCCCATGCTGACGCGGTACATTGGGGCTTTTCCCCTGCCAGAAGAAGGTGTAGTCTTTCTCCTTCAGTCTTCCAGAGTCTGCAAGTCGTGTTTCTTGTAAGGTGGCAATGTCCACATTAAGCCTCCTAAGTTCGTCGTTAATGATGGCTGTTTTCCTGGAGTCGCTGACGTCCTGAAGGTCTTCTGAGAGGCCCGTCAGCATTGTTCTAACGTTCCAGCAGCCTAGTTTCAGGACTGGTTTCTTTTGATGATTTTTGTTATTGCCTGGTGCAAAGTTTGCAGTCTGCCTGTTGGATATCTCCTAATCTCCATGCACCCAATGAAGAAAGCAAACCGTGGCGGGACAGCACCTTACTGACTGGGGGCTGCCCAGCTTGAGGCGGGCGGTAGCTGTCCAGTGGGATTCGAAGATCCCTCCCACCGACGAGAACGACCCCTGGCGCTTCACTCTACGCCAATCGAGCAGTAGCTTATCACCGGTAAACTGCCATTCTCCGTGTTGTGTCTACGCCATGGGCGTAGCTGGAGTGTCCTCTCCAGGTGTAGTGCGAGGTGTGTTGGTGTGTAGTGTAGGCGGATGCTAGCCTGGGCAGTGTTTTATGGAGAACAAGCTGTTGCCCATGTAACATGTTCCCCCTCTCCACGTCACTGATGGGGCCAAAGGAACAACAAGGTCGTTACAATTTGGGACCAGTGCCGTCGCAGGAGCTGCCAGCACGGGTTGAATTCAACTTCGAGCTGCTTTAGGGACTCCAACTCCGGATTTTTCCTCGAGGTTTACTCCTGAAGCCTTTTCCATGTGTGGATATAGCCGCAAGGCAGCAGAGGTTTGGGATAAGGGTTTTCCTTCCCCTAGGTAAACTGCCTTTCCAGGCTAGCGAGCTCTACCTGCCCTGTGCTGTAACCCTAGCAGGGGTGGCTGCGGGGCTGTAAACACTTGCCAAAGGTGTCACCCCAGACTCTGGTGGGCGGGGTCGTCCATGTCCCCGTGGTAGGCTGAGGTCCAACCTGTCCTACCCCAGTGCCCCAATGAGATTCCACTAACTGAAACCCTGACATTCTTAAAACCTTACAACAAGTATGTATGTAGAGAGAGTCTCAAACAAAAAAATGACAATAAAGAGAGAGAGAGTTTGTTCTTGAAAGAGTTGAATGTCTATACCCACTTACATCTTCCTGGAGCCTGGCAATATATGGATTTTGACATTTGCAGCTTGTGCTAGGCATTGAGATTCCACTTACTGAAAAACTGACATTTTTAAAACCTTACAACCAGTATGTATGAGAGATAACTGATTTTTGACTGATATAACATAGACAGTTACTTCTTGTGGCCCCTCTCAAGTTAAGCTCTGAAAGCTTCAGTCACCATTCAGTTCTGCTAATGCCATAATTTTTTGATGTTGTTCAGTTAAGAAGCAGATACTCTTCAACTTGGCTATAGTTGTTTTGCATTCCTTTGACTCTGAATGTCAAGTGTGCCAGAGAAAAGAGAAAAGTAAATCCCTGCTCGAATACAGACACAGTCCTCTGGTGGTTACAGCCGACAACCAAAATGGGTCTGGCCTCCAGGTTTGAGACCTATTTAACGGCTCAGTGCACGTATCAAATAAAAAAAAAAGTAGGAACCATAAAGCATAAAAATAAAAACGATACGAGCATATCATTGCCGAGGTACCAAAGGGTAAGACCGAAGTATGGGCAATCTGCACTGCACCTCTCCTCGGGACGCAAAAATAAACAAGCACTGAGAGGAGCGCACAAAACTCTCCACCCAGCTGGGATTGCCTTCTCTGGGCTGGCTGCATGAGGTTTGAATCCTCACAAGGAACTCAAATTCTAATGTTTTTTCTTTCACTATCCTACACAAGATACCATTAGCTCTCGGTGATCCAACTTGTCCATTGGAAGTGAAATGTCTTCTTCTGAAACATGATCCTCAAGCTGAAAAAGAAGAGTGCTTGAAGTAAATGACGTGTGCTTATAACCCAGTGGCAGATCTAGGGGAGGGCCCCCCTCCCTTATTTTGGGTAATGAAATAAATGCAGAGGGAAGAAAAGCCAGCACAAAAATACATGTACAAAACAGTTGGTTTTGCCCAGTGACCAAAAAGCAGTCACTCGTAAGCTGTACCATGCATTAAGATTACATATTTTGAAAAAGACCTGACAGGCTGAAACCTACTTTCAACAATTGTAGCACAAGAAAATTGTGGTAACAACTGACTAGTCTACATATGAACAGTTGTTCAGTTTGGGACTGTACCAAGTGATGAGAGCCTATGTTATTGGAAGATTTTGTCATGTCTATACCCACTTTCAAAGGAAACAACAATATCACAAAGTTAAAAAATGTAAATGTAACAGAAATGTGGTCACTTGTAATGATCCAGGAGCATTAAGATCTGACTAAAACTCTGTTATTCACAACCCAAACCTTGCAGAAAGATTCCACATTTTGAAAAACCTAACATACTCAAACCTACTTTCAGTTTAGAAGCCATACATTCAAATGCATGAAAATTGTGTGTAAAGCCTGTCTTGTCTACTTATGTATAATTTGTCAAAAAAATTTTTTTGACACTTGTCTCTGGAGCCTGAACCAAGCATTGATATTCTATATTCTTTATATATCCTTAAGCATATCTTATTTTACTTTGGACTGAGTAAATGTTTATCAGAAAGCCAAAAAATGCTTAGGAAAAATAATGTGGTCACTCACAATGATCCAGGAGCATTAAGATGACTAAAAACCTCTCACTTGTAATCTGCAACTTGTATGGAATTTCCACAATTTGGAAAAAACCTGACATTCAAGAAGCTACAACTCATGGCCAAAGTACTCAGCACCCTGCTCTCCCCTTACTTGGTGGTTGACAACCTTACACTTAACAAAGAAAAAATTAAATCTTGAAATAAACTCCTTAATAAGTTTCTTGCAAGTCCACCTCCCCCCCCAAAACAATGTTGCCTGAAACTCTGAAACTAGTCACCATTTTGCAACACCAGGCAGATTCAGCATATTTGATTGATATTACTCATCACAACCTAAAAAAATGGTCAACCAGACCAGCTATTATTAGGGAGATGACAATCAGTTAAGAATTAAGACATACTTTAATCCCTAATTGCAATGCAAATTTTTCCCATTGCCAAACTTTCAAAAGTGTCCTTGATGTTTATGTTCATAACAAGTATCATGTATGATTACTTAAAAGTTTTAAATTCAAAATACAATCAAGGAATGAAGCTTACATTCCTTAAATGGCACTGACATGAGGTTTTTAATGACCATACTCCAGTATTCATGCGAGCTCAATGCCACAACTGCTCTTTAGGTACCCCATATCTATCAAGGCCTCCTGACTAAAATGTCTTTACCCTAATAAGCCCACCTCTCTCCTCCCACGAAAGAAAAATTCTACAGTATTGGTTGTATTGTTATTGATTTGACTGTATTAAATTGAGCTTATCTTGTTATTCATTCCTTTCTAGTCAAAATAAAAATGTATATATCCTCCACTGTTGAAAAGTAACCCGCTATTTCAAAAAAGTATATTACCTCCCACCCCTGCCCCTACTTATTTGTTCTCGACTGAGTTCTGTTTGCATGCCATACATACAAGCTTTTTTTTATCACAAGCTTGCTATCGTAATT